ATTATGGTCTATGCAAAGAATCTGCTGCCATCAAGGTTGACAAATGTGCTTGATTGTGATGCAAGTCCTAACTTTACTTCTACCAACTGTGTCGGAAATTAGACGAGGCCAACGCATGTCGGCGTCTAGGTCACGAAGAAGTCTCTATCCCCATTCGACAAACTAGAACTGGGCTTATACCAATGTACAGGTTAGCAGACCCCTACAATATGAGCACTGGGTTATTGTTTAATTAATCTGATTGGTTTGCTGAATGACCCTTTTGGATATGTAAACCAATGAGCAGAGTACCTAGCGATACCGGTTTAGCACAGGTTTTAACTCATTGTTTGCAGCATAGATAATTAACAGTCTATCATTACTTGTTGCAAGCAGGAGACATATGATCACAAATTTCACCCTAAGTGGGTGCTTAGAATATTGAAATCCGCAGGATTGACTTACGTTTTCTCTCCTTAACCACCAACCAACTTCGGTATATACGTGATCGATCTCTGCGAATTGCCATTGTTCATTTTACAATCTTCGATTTCTTAGCTTATATTCATAAAGTACTGCGAACAGTTTAATTTGATGGTCACTCAAGTTGAACGTTCACATTTTCCCTGACATGGTTGACGTTAGCAGCACAGGTTCATCTATTTAACCAATAAAATGACGTCCTGAGCATAAAATTGTGTGAATAGTCATTGCTAATTTCACTTAATTTAATTTAATTATAAATCCCGATGCGTGTACTACGAACAAAGGAGGAATCAAAAAAATCGACTTAACCAATTATCAGCATGATAGGTACTAAATTGCATGCGAGTTAAAACGATTGGTTTTTGGAATATGTGGATAGTCGTGTCAAGTCATAGTTGAGTCATGCACTTACTGAAACAGAACTCTCACCTTTCAAGTATTGTGCACGCAGAATGGCGTCATAATGACATTTGCAGACTCACCAATCACAAAACGCCTTTTCGCAGTACATTAGTAGGCAGATTTGTGTGGATTTTTTCTGGTATGCATCTTTGGTTGTATCATATTGATCGAAGTCTAAGCTCGATCATTTTACAACCTAATTTTGATGAGAGATAGTTAAGCGTTCCCACGCAATGTACCAATTCTTGTTAGCCAAATGTAATGAGGTTGATGGCAGTGCCGTGGCTATCTCAATTAAGACACGAGCATGCGTGGATAATCTTCATACCTAAGACGTAATGTGACTCTCATGTGAAATGTGACAAATTCATTTACGCCTGTTAGAGAGACAGCTTTACTGTCACAATCATGGACAATGAATTAATGGACACACCGCACCTCTAGGCAGCACAATTTCGCATATTTTCATCCAGACTGGAAACTGGAAACACGGTCAATAATCCTGCGAGGCAGCATGACACCTGTCGTATTCTGAGGTGACTGAACCTCTGCTTTCGTTCATTCTCCTAGCCCGTTAATTTTGCTCCGATTTCTGTTTAGCAAGATTAATTGATTTTATTCTGAAGAAACAGGACGATAAGTAAGTCCCACTGTCAAGCCGACATGGCAACGGATGACAGAGACCAAACTGGGTGGGTAATGGTGTGGCAGTGCCAATTTAACACGAGTCCGTCTAACATCTGTGGCATTCAGTGTGAGTGGGCGGCAGATATCAGTCGGTTCTTAAAGAAGAACACTGCACGTGTCATCATCTTCGCAGACACCTCATAAGCACTCTAACCCAGTTCACCGAACTTGTGGGTGATTGTTCGACTGCGTTATTTGTGATTAGAGCAAACGATGATCTTCAAAATATGTGCAAAGGCAATGATCTAGTCTAGCGAAACTCATAATGTCAGCGTATTTATTTGGCTGGTTTTTATATTTCAAACGGTAGATTCATGATGTCCCAATAAAAATCACAACAAACCCACAACGACAGTGGCAAATCTGAACTCATTTGAATGCGCGTTACGAGTTGAATGCTAAAATAAATATGTTAAACAACAGCCTGTTTAAATGGTATAGCTGGCAAGTAAATAAAAAAATCATGTAATTGGCATGACGTCTCTTCCAAGTAAGCAAGGGTGAAGAATTGTCTCAAGATGTCTCTGCCACACAGTTGAGATACATTAAACGAAAGAAGTAACAGTTATTGGAGCCATTAAATCGACTGCAGTTTGGTAACTGGAACTTGAACACATAGCACAGTTCACGGTTCCAACAAACATTCGACAACATGGTGGTACATGAGTTTAAGCGGGACGCGAGATGACGAGTAGGCTATAATTAGGAGAACCAGACAATCTAAGTGGACAGGAAGACTGTCAGAGCGAGAAGTCGTAATTCAAAATACACCAATCTTACCAGCCATTGTGACACTAGCCGCAGACTGCGGTGACTGAAGCCCTAGTTTGGTTCCCTCTCCTTCACGCAAGAAGTAACTTGACGCAGTTTACCCAATCTACTGAGACAGATACTAAGTGGACGAGCTACTAAAACACCAATCAGTAAATCGCACTGTCAGGCCGGCATGTTCGCAGACGAGGGCCACCAAACTGGGTGGACAGATGTGGGGCAGTGTTCATTTCAATCTAACTCACTAATCTTCTGTGGCATATACTTTATGGGCAATGCAGAGACTGACAATAAGGATTTCATATCCGCTGCTTCTTGAAAAGAAACATTGAACGTATTTTTTACCTCCACAAATAACATACAAGCAAAGTAATTTAATTCACTACAGGTGTGAGTGATTAGTCCATTACACATATTTTGAAGCTCATCGTAAAGGTAAAACTAAACCAGAACGATAATTGCCACTCTGGGTATATTTTATAATGCAGATGTACAGGTACAAAATCACAAATGAAAAACCCGTCAGTGAAAAAGTAGAGCAAGTGATTTAGCAAAAATAAATAAATCAAGTGACTAGAATTATATTTCATCCACGTCGGTGAAGGGAAAGAAGTGTCCCGAGAGGTGCCTGCCAAACAGTCGAGGTAAATGAAAGGGCAGGAGTATCAGTCGTCGAGCCAACCAAAGCGGCCACAGATCGAAAAGGGGGGACTGACCGCAAACCAAAGTGTACGGTCGCAACACGCATCCTGCCACGGGGTCGGACACGGCTGCTGGCGGAACCCGAGACGTGCCAAGTGAAGAATAGGTCTCAATTCGAGAGAACCAGGCAAGCCAATTGGACAGAAAGA